GGGGATCGCATTGAATCTGTAGATCATTTTGGGTAGTATCAATAGTGTTGGGAAAATTTGGTCGAAACAATAGTCATATATGATTAATTTTCTTTTTTTTTTAAAAAAGATGACCAGTAAGGGGATCTTAACCCTTGACTTGGTGTTGTCAGCACCACGCTCCCCGTGGCCTTGGTGTTGTCAGCACCGCACTCTCCCGAGTGAGCCACAGGCCGGCCCATATATGATTAATTTTCAAAGATCAAATACATATGGTATACAGGTGATGGTAGTCAATGTTGTACCCCCAAAATATGCATAATTAATTATGCTTCAATAAAAAAATTTTCAAAGATCAAGATCAAATTAATTAGTTTTTGAATTAACTATGGTTAAAAAAAAACCAAAGGCAGAACATTAATGAAAAAAAATTAAAATATTTTTATTTTGAATAGCCTGAATCACTATATATCTATACATGTCAGTACATATCTACAACATTGTAGGAACTCTGCTTCTCCTTGACTATCTGACAAGTATCCATGAGAATGATTCCCCTGTTTTAGACAATAGCCCTTCATGGAAAATGTCAGGAAACAGACAGGGCTGAAGCTCCTAGAAGATGGAAGGGGCAAGGAATTAGAGGAGGAAGGAATGGGATAAAGTGGGATGGAGGAGAGAGGATGAGTTTTGGCCCAGCTAGTTCCTGTACTAATATTAATTAAAGGGGAGAGCTCTGCTAGATACAAACAACAGACTGTCTTAATTAGCAGGACCTTGGGGCCATACTTTGATAAGCAATTCTTATCCTTTTATTAGACTTCTAATTTTTGGATGATATCATTAGAAAGAGAAATATATGCCTACTGTTGGGTGACATTCTAATGAAACAGGTTTACTTTGAGTCCATTTTGTATTGCATTTTGACTAGTTTTGCTTCAGTTTGTATTTGGGATTATCTGTGACCTCCCCCACCTCCTCACTTCATTTTTCTGGTGAATTGAAAGCTGGATGGTAAAAATAATTAACTATATAAAAGTCAAGATCAACTGAATACTGATTGTAGCAGAACTTTTTTTTGTGAAGCATAAATCATCTGAAAATGTTATCCAGGAAAAAACAGATGTCACAGAATTTCATTTTTTAATTTATGAATATTATCAACTCACAATAGATAGAAAAGGCTAAAATAGATAAACCAGCAATATATTTTTCATACTCTGAATGTGTCCAGGCATAATTGATCCACACTGAATAAATGCCTGTCTCTCTCCAATACATCCAAATGTTTCTCTCTCACTGCAGGAAAAAATTGGCTGGCGGAACGATTCCCTGCACCTCCTGGTCTTTGTGAGTGATGCTGATTCTCATTTTGGAATGGACAGCAAACTGGCAGGCATCGTCATTCCTAATGATGGGCTTTGTCACTTGGACAGCAAGAATGAGTACTCCATGTCAACTGTCTTGGTGTGTAAGCTGTTGTCAGGGCTATAAGTAGGCCAACGAAGTAACAATTGCTGTAATGCAACGTGGAATAACTTGCACTTGCTGAAAACAGTGCACATTTTATGATTTGAGATTTAAAAAGTGCCTCCCCTCAATTCTCCCATCATTAGAGGAGCATAGGTGGGTGGTGGGGACATGGCAGAAGTTTCGATCTGCTATAGCACTTGTGATCCCAGAACCTCCCCAACTTCTTAAAGGTCCTGGGGCCAGCACAAAGCAGCATAGGCAGCTCATTCTGTTCTCAACCACAGCCCCAAAAGGGAGGCTCAGACCAGAACAGTAACCACACAAGGGTTGCTGTGAATGATAATTCCAGGGTCATGCCCCTAAATCATGCCATGCTTTCATGGACCACGGTGCTCCATGGGAAACAACTAGTCAGGTACTACTTGGTTGGTGCTTATTAACATTTTGCTTATTGTATGTCATTTTAAAAATTCTGGTGACATTTAAAGAAAAAAATACCTGACTTGTGTAAAACAAGTAAACTTTTCAAAGCTCTTTTGGCATACATGATCTCATCTGATCTTTAACAGAACCCTGGGTATACAACTGCTTTCCCTGAATGAACTATGAGGCTGCCATGCTGTGCACGTTATTCCCTCTATTCGGAATGTCCTTCCCTCCGAGGCTGCTGAGAAACTCTTAATTATCCTTCAACACTGAGTTCAATCATTAGTGCTCCTAGAGAGCCCTGTTTGACCTCTGTCAGACCCCGAAGTGATCGTCTCTCCTTTTGCTCTCACTCATAGATGTCTTCTCGCACATCTGTATGTGGAAACGTGTTTGCCTACATCTGTCTGTCCTTCTCTGTTGCACACTCCTCAGGGCCAGGACTCGTTTATTATTTCTGTTTCCTGACAGCACAGTGCCTGGAACATGGTGGGTGGCGACTATTACGTGAAATAGAATTAAATTATGAAGGAGCAACCTGAGAAGGTCATATTATCCCCATTTAACATTTGTGAAAATATGGTACAGAGAATTTAAGTGACTTCTTTAAGCCACAATGTTGTAGAAGTCTATATAGGGGAGAGAGAAAGAGAAAGAGACCCAGAACTCTAATATCACTTGGAAAAACTATTTCTGGAAACTCTAACAGTTTATTAATTACTCACTACCATTTCTTGACCTAAATTTTTAAATTTCAACATGACTGTTTTCCCCTGACTTTTGATCGGTAGTATTCCCCAAACATGTATATTCTTTAATCACATAATCTGCCTTTTCATATTACAGTACCAGGCAGATAGCCACATTTTGTTTTTTAGTCAATAATGGATGAGAAACTGTGAGAAATGGATCTTTTTCATTAACTTTTTCTTGAAACATTTTAAATACCCCATAATAGACATCTCGAAAGTACCACGATCATAGAAGCAAACACTATCTATTGCCTAATATGAACTTCTCATCTAATGAATGTTCAATTCATTCTTGCTGAGTAATTTGCTACAAATGCACAGAAGCCACGGACCATTTCCATGCCCACCTGCAACATAGCCCCCTGGGGCCTTTGAGCACTTCCTGCAGACTCAAAACCAGGCCAGATTCCTGGGGCCACAAAATAGTAGGATGTGGTTCCTGGCCCTGAACTTACAGTATATTTGTGGGAATTAAACCAACAGATTTGATTCAAATAGAAAACCACATTTGTCCACCTATGAAGGGCTATGTGGTTTGATCCTGGCTATACACACACAGCAGGCGAAAAGTACAGGAACATGTGGAGGTGAGGAGGGGCCAGCATTGGAGGGATTTAGGCTTTAGGGTGAAAGATATTTGGGCAGTTGAAAAGCAGAGGAAATTGAACATGCCAGACTCGGGAAGATTAATAATATCTGATATCTCTACTAATAAAAATCAAAATATGATGGACAGCACATATTATTACATAGCCAGATTTGTAGTTGGGTAATTTACCTGAGTATTTTAGGAAAAACTAGGCTTTTCTCTCAACTTGAAACTTGTACCTAAAGAAGACTTTAGATGAAAATATTCCAGTAGTGCTGAGAATATGTGAACACACAGTAGGGTACAGGAGGGCTTATCTCTCAGTGTTCCTCCATTTTGGCTGGCTTCAGTCATAACCAACATATTCTTAGCATAATTGTTTGCAGGCTGCTCCCTCATTTGAGTTTCCTCTTTGTACACTACGCACATGTGCATTCATTTGACAAGCAAGTGTGCTCCGTGTTTTCCAGACTTGAAAAGTAAAATCCATCTTCAAAATTTGGTAACTAATAACTTCTATTATTTTTAAAAGTATTTGGAATGAACATGTCAATGGAACAGAAGTACAATGTGCTTACTAAGTACAATGTGTTTTCAATTGTCCTGTAAAAATATTGCAGGATCCCATAGAGGTGATTTGTGATATTAAAATGGCAGTAAGACCAAACCCAAGTACTGAAACAGGAATGTCTCAAATCAGACAGTAGCGTGTCATTCCTCAGCACACTGTCCCCTCCTTAACCCTCATTCCACCTTAATATAATTCCAGAGTTTCAGAGCTCTAAGAGTCACCTCTGTCACATACATCATAGTCTCTCTGCCCTTCCCTCAACTCTAATATTCCTACCTGCTGGTAAGTGGCACTTAGAAGAAAAAAAATATTTCTCTACCCTTGAAAATATGACACACTATCAGTTTTAAAATAAATTTCAAGTGATCTACTTAGAAATGACAGAGCATAATACACTACATTGACAGGAACTGACTCAGGATTTAATTGGATTTATAATGTTTAGGAAATAATTATTAAACCAACTAAGTGAATAATGCTAATTGTGCAATTTGTTTATCACTTAGAGTGATAAATACAATAATGTCTGTAAGCATTGAAATGCCAAACTCAGTAAGATATCTTTGAAATAAATATTCGTATCCTTACATTCTTTTATTAAGATGAAACTTAAGATCTCTATGTTAATTTTAGGAATATCCTACGATTGGACAACTTATTGATAAACTGGTACAAAACAACGTGTTATTAATCTTTGCTGTAACCCAGGAACAAGTTCATTTATATGAGGTAAGCAAACATAATTCGGGAAATTCCAGGGAGATTATGTGCCGTGAAACTTTAACATTAACTGTGAGTTGAACACATGGGAAGGCCATTAGATAATCATTAACACATACAAAACACACTGGGCACTTGGGAAAGTGGATTCATTTACTGCTTGCAATTTAAATTATAAACAGAAAGATGCGGTGGGTGTGGGGAGCAGATATCATGGGACAAAGAAGAGTGACAAAAATAAAAAGATAAGTTGAGAAGAGCGCCAATAAACATAGGACCGCTTACCTAAGGGGAAATTAGTCTATCTCCCCTTGAACTGTTTTATCTGATGAGGAGAAAGTTAACAGAGAACAAAGGAAATCTTGAGAGTGGGAGAATTGACTTTAAATTCTTTGACATTTGCAAATTAGATACATAGAAAAGATACAAGTGGAGACACAACTCAAGCTATTGAGAAGTAGAAAGGTAAAAGAAAAAAACTTGTTAAATTGGGCCAAAAGAATAATTTCTCCCTAAAACAGTTGGATTTACAGTTCAAGTTTTTGGATGGAAGCACCAAATGCAAAAAGGGAACTGTTTTATAAGATGAAGTGATGCTCATAAACCACTTTATAAACTTTAAAATGTATATGCCAACACAAAATATTTCTATGGTTTCTTCCCAGCCTAAAAAAACATTATATCAAAATACCATGAATTGGGGTACTAGCAAATGATCTGCTAATCTGCAGTTTCACAGACAAGTAAGGAGACGTTAGCATGGGCCCTAGAAAATGAAGAGAAATTAAATTGTGCCTTTCATGCAGAAGCTTCACATACTCCTAAATTCAGACCTGATCTCCCATTCCTTGTAAAAGGACCTCTTAACTTGCTTGGTGACTTTACAGGGTTTGTGAAACTCTGAGATTATTTCACAGAAGGCTTTGATTAATTGCCACTGACCACTGAGGAAAGTGCAGCCCTGGAATTTGCATTGGGTTCTATAGAAAGGATTCAGGAGGAGATACTATCTTGCACTTTTAATGAGAGGAGGGTATTATACTCCCAGGTGAAATTGCCTTGTGCTGCAAACCAAGGAAGTCCTTTGCAATCAAGCTCCATACTCAAGGCCTTTGTTCTGCTCAGAGACCATGTGGTTTCACCTGATCTGGGCATTTTCTTATGGCTCTGTAGTAGGTGATACTTGTTTCTAGTGGTTTTAAGTAGTAGAGCTGCTGTTGAGATTAAAAAAAAAAAAAAGCCGAAGCACAATAGTGAGTCTATTCTGTCTTTGATCATTAAGGCTATAGTAAGGGGACCCTGGGGGCCACAACTCCTCCACAGCAGGGCTCCGGTTTAGAAGGGGGGGGGGATTGCACAGAATTTTTCTTCAAAGGGGAGTCTGGGGAACACGACTGATGATCATGAACATAGACTCCCATAACTCACTTTGGTAATAGTCTTTAAAACTCACAACTCGTTTACACACCTCCCCAAAACTGCTATTAAAACGACAGAGGGAGATGAAAAATAAGTGCATGGTAAAACAGAATCTGCTGGATTTGAGCTGGTTGCATCCATGGTTCCCCTGTTGCAGGGAAAATGATCATTTCCAAGGAAAATGCCAGATTAGAGCCTGCCTCTAATGTAACAGCAGGACATTTATTTTGCCTGCCTACTAATCTCATTATGAGGCGAATTTATGTTCTGTCATGATCTGTGGTCTTTACCATCCAGGCTCTGCTAAATTCAAAGGGACATTTAGGGAGTCATGCAGCAAACCAGGTCAGCAGCCCACTCTTTGGCTCTGGTCATTTCATTATTTTATTTTTATCTGGATGGGCCTGTCATTCTACCTGCTTCAGTGGGGGCAGGCAGCATCCTGGACTAATGATAATGACAGCAACATTGCACTTCCCTGAAGCCAGCGTGAAAATGCTGATCTCCTGTTTTATTGATAATGAAAACTGAAAATAGACCGATAATGGCTTGTGTTGCCTTTCAATTTACATCTCTTAGAAGGAGTCTTATGAGTGCAGGAGACCTATGCAATCTGATGTTTGGAAAGCCGTGACATAAGGAACGTAACCACTAAAGAATCACTGAAAAATAAAACCAGTGATAGGATAAATAATGCAATTACGTGGTTGGATCTAATGAAAATTCCAGAAGGAAAATTATTCTCTCGAGTTATTTGTTGAGCATAGTTACGTGCCTGCACAGCAGGCAGGGGGTGGGTTAGGTTCAGTGGCAGCCCTGACTTGCAGCAAGTAAGATTTATGTTGCCCGCTCACGGAATGCAGGAAAAATGACTGTGTTTTCAGTAGCTTTGGTAAAATGCTTTGGACTGCCCAGGTGTGTAGCGTTCCTGTCTCATTGTAACAGAGATCACAAACAACAGAAAGGGTGAAGTAAGCAGTTTTGCCGTCAATTCAATATGACTGCAGTGTGTGCTCCAGACTCCAGCAAACAGGTGATTTTGAACAAACATATTATTATGAACAGTTCCTGTTCATCCAATTACAGGGTTCAAAAGATAATGACAGATAATAGACTGAGCAGTAGGTAGTATATTACATTCTAGTGCTAAATACCATTTTGAATCAGGATTCCTATTACTCAAGTTAAAAAAAAAATTTGTGTTCTCTGTTGTTCTTAAATGTTTCCTCTTAATTTACATTAAGATAGTATCAGGCCACTAAACCCCCATTGTCTAATTTAACTAGTCTTTCCTTCCTAGTGAGGTATTGAGATAAAAAGCAATTAAATCAGTGTTTTTTACTACCTTGTCAAATTATATCATTAATCACCTCAGGTTATTTGCAAGACCTTAAAATATCCTATATTTTTTCAGAATGTCTACATCTGGCTGTGAAAGATGACTTTTGTGATGTTAATAACAATGATTACTATATGACTGGTATTTATGATGTAATGCTGTTGGAAAGTAAACAAGAAGTATATTGGTCATAGACACCTCCAGTTTATTTACTCACTAACACGTGTGACCACTAATTGCTGTCCCTAATTGTGGTTATTAGTACAGAGTGATGTCTCTAAAGCATGGGGACGGGGTGCAGGCAGATTTTTATGCCACCAAAGGGCCCTTTCCTCTGGAGACAAAAAGCTTTTATCAGCTCTTTGAGAAGACGGTGGGTCTTGCTCATCTTCCTGTTTAGGCCAATTCTCCATGCACAGCACATTTTCAGTAAATATTCATTGAATGCATAAAATGGTGAAATAAAAGCACCTCATCTTTTCTAAAACTGGGTCAAATGTTCTAAATAGGGACTTGGAGGTCTATGTGACAAATATTCATCAGGGTTGAGGACACCCATGCACACAGAGCAGGAGGGGCACTGACCATTGCTGGATTCTTGCCAGCCCTGTCTGTCCCTTCTTCTAGCCCTTCCACCTTGGACCCAGATGGCACTAGAGAGGAAAGAAACCCTCTGCCATCAGTCTTAGGACCAACCAGTTGGAGAAGCTCCACAGCCTTCTCACTAGGACATGAAAGAAAACCCCTGAGCAATTGTCCACCTGATGGCCATTAGATCAAAACCAGGCTTAAAGAGCAGCCACAGCAGGCTGTGAGCCCAGAGTCCTTTTAAGACTCGTGAAAATGATCTACCATCTACCATACACTAGTATTAATTTTTCAGGAATCAACCCAATTTTTATTTCACCCTTTCTCTCTTCTTGCTCTTTTGAGCTTTTTTTTTTTTTTAACTCACTATCTTAGTGATTCTATTGCATCATGAGACAACAAATTTAGTTTGAAGGGTGATTTTCAGGGACGTTACATAGAACTTTAGTATATAAAATGCCAAAACAAGTCATTTAACTGTAAAAAATTCCAACAGTTAATGCCAAAGAATATTGATTGTTTCAACTTAACTAATTTTATAATAATAATATTAACGGGTTTTGATATTTTTAATTATGGCTTTGGGGCTTTAAGCCTTTTATGAACCTTCTTTTGAGCTTTTCACTGAACCAACGGAGGAACAGAGGCAGAGAAAGTAGGGAGGGAGATCAAATAAAAATTGGACCCCTTTGCTATTTGTTAATGTGTTTCATTGTTTTATTTTGTGATGTTCCTGTTGGAAAAGATCAAAACAATTTTGCTCCAATGGAAATCAGTTTATCTCTCTGACCTGAGAGTTTACAAAATAAGACTGGACCTGATGACCTCCAGCTTTAAAAGTCAATGTCTCTAATCCTGGAGGGGCTAAATTACCATGAATTCCAATGATCTCCATACAGATAACGTAGTTAGCTGTAAAGTGGCTAATTTTAGGGCATGATCTAAGAAGTTGTTCTTCATCCTATCAGTCCCATCCTGCAATGGGGTATTCCAAACTCATGATTTTAGTGAAAATAAAATCATCTGGGAGTAAAAAGACAACTTCTGGATTATGAGGCATCTCCATGGAGTTCATAAATTGCTCTTTAATTCAAATGTAATGGAAAGGATTTTGATTTCTCCTTAATTGATGGTATCTGAGAACAGACTGAGGAAAGCCAGCTGCCTACACTTTCCTCATTAATTAAAACATCCCTCAGAGAGGGAGGATTTGGTGATAAAACTCATGTATTCAGATTATCAGGCAGTTTCCAGGCTAATTAATAAATCCCTACTATGAATAATCATCAGTAGTTACCTCTTAGATCACACAGTACTTCTCTGTGAAAAGTACTCAAAGCCTCATAATGAAGAAAATAAATGCACAGAAAGAAAAAAGTATAGATACAAAGTAGGGCCTTAATGAGATGCCCTATTAGGCCAACCTATGTAGAAATACAAAATGGGATTTCATCAAAACACGATCTAGGGCTGATTAGCTCAGTTGTTTAGAGCACAGCTTTGTAACACCAAGATCAAGAGCTCAGTTTCCCGAACTGGCCAGCTGCCAAAAAAAAAAGATCTAAATGTTTCAAGATTTATACAACACCCAGAATGCATAGTATATTATTGGAACCAAGATGCTATTGATTGCATGGCCATTTATTCATTCATTCATCAAACA